CGATCCTTTGTAAATTTAGATGTCCTGAACACAATCATCGTAGAAATTGAATGCATTTTGAATGACCGTCCTCTGACCTATGCATCAGCCGACCCATTGGACGAAGATCCCCTAACACCCTCTCATCTACTATATGGAAGGAAAATCAAGTCATTACCTTATCCTGGGAGTTCCAGTGAAGAAAATGTAACAACTGATTTGAACCATGTATCTGCGAACGAAAATTACAACATTCAACAAAAAGTCATTCAACACTTTTGGCAACGTTGGAGAAAGGAATACTTAACATCCTTAAGAGAATATCATCGCAGCCATGGAGAAAGCAAACAAAATATCAAGACCGGAGACATCGTTCAAATTTTTGATGAATTCAACCCAAGAAATTTGTGGAAACTGGCAAAGATTGAGGAGCTTATTTCCGGCCAAGATGGACTTATAAGATCTGTTTTATTAAAGACCAGAAATGGTATAACTTCTAGACCAATTACAAAACTGTATCCATTAGAATTAAATTCTGGGGACGATGACAAACCTTCAATACCTACAAAGGATCGTGAGGCAAAACTGAAAGCTATTAAACAGATTTCCAGTCATTCTAAGTGAAATAATCTAATTTTTGATATGACATTGTAAATAACTTTTTAAAAAGAAATCAATGCATTTTTTAGCTAAAAAACCGCGTCTGATATTTTCAGTCCAAAGACTCTATTTTATACTTTTGTGGGCCGGAGAATGTTATGAATTATAGACAGTAATGCTTTTCTATTTACCATTTAATGCAATTATATTAATGACATTTACCGAACTATGACGTCATAGTACGATGACGTCATAGACGTTACTATAACGTTATGTTATATACTTGTGAAGTTTCAAATAAACCACTATACGGTTCAGATGTGTTTTCTATGAGTGCTACAATCTTGACAAGGTCCATAGCTCTCCACCGTGTATACATACTAAGCCTATAGGTCCATAGCTCTCCACCGTGTATACATACTAAGCCTATAGGTCCATAGCTCTCCACCGTGTATACATACTAAGCCTATAGGTCCATAGCTCTCCACCATGTATACATACTAAGCCTATAGGTCCACATTTCTCCCCCTGTGTATACATACGAAGCCTATAGGTTCATAGCTCTCCACTGTGTATACATACTAGGCCTAGGGTCTACAGCTCTCCACCTCTGTATACATATTAAGCCTAGTCCAGAGCTCTCCCTGTATACATACAAAGCTTAAGGTGCAGGCTGAGACTAAATCATTGACCAATAAGTATTGCTGTTATATTTTAGATTGTGCTTGTTTAATGCCATTATGGCTCCAGAGTTCAAGTTTTCTAGGCAGTGTTTGTATACAACTTCCCTGCCTTCCAATTTATTAATAAGTGCTCAAAAATTAGAAAATTCCAGCTTGGATCTGATTCGTAGTTCATTATGCCCTGGTATAAAAGGGAGCAGGACTTTCTTGGAAAGCTGTTGATATGTTAAAGTGATGATACACACACTGTGTCATTCATCAAATGAAGTAATCAGTAGATAATACACTTGAAATACAAAAATACAAGAGCCTGATTGTGTGATCTAATAATATGTCTAGAAAAGCTTTATATTTTCTTTGAGTTGACACTCTTACATAAATTTCAACTATATTCTAGGGAATTGTCCATAAACATGAACATGTATTCATATTGTGGTATATCTTGACTTGTTTTCTGGAATTTATATCCAACAATAATAAGTGTTCATCTTTGAAAATTCAATAATCATTGTAATTACTGCAAAATGTCAAAATAGAAATTCAGTAACCTCAGCAGTCAGACAATACACAAGTATAATAGCCAAGGTCTCAATGCATTCCGTGAATTCCGTAAACTGTTCCCACAGTGCTGGCCTCTGTGTACAAATGAATCCCACCTGTTATAGGTGTTTTCTCCATTCCTTACTAGCAAAAGAGAACTTGACAAAGAGAAAACTGTTCGTATAACAAAGTTATGTGTGAACAAGCTGGTATAACAGTGTACAAGTTATAATAAACGGTACCAAGTAGTTCTCTCTCCCAATCACCGCAAACCAGCTAAATAAAGCTCAAAATCATTAAGCTTATATCTTCTATGTTTAAAAGACTGCATGCTGGAAATGCATTAAAAAATTATTTCTCAGTCCTTTGTTTCTTTCTTGTTCAGAAATTGGACAATGGGATGTGACATTACACTTACACAATTTACTCGTATTATGATCCTCAATTTACCTAAGTGACTGACACAAATAATCATGTACACATACACATGACATATATGCCTGCAATGTACAAGTTTATCATCACTAAGTGACAAATAAACAGTAATTAATGATTGCAGTTTGAAATCATTGATCGTTTGGTCCCACTTCCCGTTTGTCTCAATTGTTGTTTGTAATACCAGGAAGCCAGTTACGCGGCCGATTTAGTTAAGCCTCAAATCCTGTCCAACCCGACATGGATAGAGATGGTGAAATGTCTTATTTCTGAGGTGCAAATGGAAGATTTCATGCCATTAACACCTGGCTGCTAAATAGCATCATTAGTTTTATGGCCACATTACTAGTTCTTGGCTAGGTAAACCATCAAACCTTTATGATAGAGATAAAGGTTTGACAGACATGGTGAACATACTTTATTTACTATTGTATGCCTTAATAAACTCAGGTAAACTATAACAATAGGGTTTTACTAGTATACACAGTTGATAGTAGCACAAGGAAATTCTCTGTGTGCACTCAACAGATTGGAAAATTCAATCATGTGTAGAGAGGGCTTTGACTTTTTCCCCTCTGCCCTGGAGAACTCAAGCTATTGTACAACAGAAACTATAATTACTCAAGGGTTTCCATTAACTTGGTATGATGTATCTTTGTATTGATTTATCTCAAATTTACTTAATAGCCTTAGGCTCTAAAAATAAAACTTTAGTTATTTTACAAACAGATATAAAAGTGATTTTAATGAATTCCATGACCCTCTAGGGTAAGAAACATAACCTTTGAATTTTTATTCATAGTCTTTTGTTCATTGCTGTCTTCAGAGTTTTATACGTTCTTTATGATAGCTTTGATCCGGTAAATCAAACAGTACTACACCTGTACATGACAGAATTTATTTCCTCTGTCTTTTGAGATCTCTTAAAAAGCCTTCCTTATTAATTTAGTCTTCCTAACATGCTGAATTTTCCTTCATACTATTTATTCATTGATTTAATAGGATAAATTTTTCAGCATTAAATATTTTCTCCCAAATCAACATTCGCAATGCTGAATAAAGAAAATTGCTTGAATTCATGTATTTTCTTAATTTATTTCTTCATCTAGAAGTATTATTTATCCCCGCCTTTTTATCTGGTTGCTTAACACTCCTGCAGTGGGCATTAAATATATATAAGCAACTTGCAGCAAAGAATAATAACCAATTATCCTAATCTTATGATCTCTTTTCTGAAGTATCATAAATTATGTTAATTTACAAACTTTAGGAAATGTTCAACTATGGGAAGTAATTTGAAATGCTCCTGCAGCCTAAAACTGGATGTGTTTACACCCTGTTACAGAGTGCTTTCTTATTTTGTTCCTTTTCATTTTGGAAAAAAAGACAATTTATTGGTGTGCATGTGCATTGAGAAACTGAATTTGCAGTACACCAATGAGAGTTTTACAACTTAATTTTTAGCTTAAACAATGATCAACCGGTCAATAGGGGCTTCAAGTTTATATGCAACAACTATACACACAAGTGCCAAATGCTATGAATTTATGGAATCATAATATCTTTCATGGAAGAACAGTGAATTATTTTATATAGTTTGTAATTTTTATGTACCTGTATTTGAGGATTTAGGGGTATATAGTTTTTGGCCTGTCCATCCTTCCGTCTGACTGTCCACAAAAGCTTTAACATTGCCCATAACTTTAGAGTGGATGGGGCTATGGCTTTAATATTTCACAGGTGTATTCCTTGTGACAAGTCCTTTCTTTGGGTACCACCAAATTTACCTCTTGAAGTTAGAACTACTTTGTCAAAATATTACCAATTGGCCATTACTTTTGAACATTTAGCACTAGGACTTTCATATTCTACATGTGTATTCCTTGTGACAAAACCTTCCTTAAAAGGATACCAAAAAGTTTGACCTTTTTACTTTGATCTTTGAGTTTTACCCACTTTTTTAAAACTTTCACCTTGCATGACCATAACATTTGAATAGTAAGCACAGGGATCTCATATTTCATAGACCTATGTATTCCTCGTGACAAGACCTTCCTTTGGATACCAGCAATTTTGACCCTTTGATCTTAACCTTGGAGAAAGTTGGAGTCTGGCTAGCATTTCAACCCTCACCATAAACTGCTATACCATGTATACTGGGGCATCAGTGTTTCATAAACACATTTTTATAAATATTGTCAACCCTTTTGATAAAATTTCCATGTTAGTCTTTTCATAAAACAAAAAAAGAATCTTGAATCCTGCAGTTGTACTTTCTAGCTGACTATCTCTATGGATTTCAAATTCATAAGACAACTTGACAAATATATCAGGAAGATTCGATCACAAGCATATCATGCATGTCAGAATATAATTTTTTCAAGATCATTGCAGACAACCAACTCTTACCATACCTATGCTAGACTTGAAACTATGTACTAGGTAAACCTAGCATAAATATTTGTTAGAAGATCAAAGAGTAGTCCAGTTATTTAAAGGGAACTAATTATCTAGTGTCTCAAAGACTACCCTGACCTAAACAAGAGGCAGATTCTACAAAAAATGACCCGACACATAGATTATACAGTGGATTGCTTAAAAAAAATTCCAAGAACATTTAAAACACCCTTCATATATCCTCAAAAAAACTTAAATTAATGACACCTCTGAATTTGCACACCTTTCAGAGTTTTCTAAATATCACTATTTTTATCTGTACCACATTACAGATCATACTGTGAGTGTCCAGACTGACAGACTTACCAACTCAATACTCTGGGTAAACGGGCAAGCCTCCCAGTCATTCTCTGGAAAACGCTGGAGGATCCGTCCCTCACTTGACCCATTCCCTGCAAGAAATACACTGATGATTAGGCCAGGTTTATTTATTGCCTTTAATCACCATGTTTTTATTTATTTATTTATTTATTAACTTGACTCAAAATTAAATGAAATAAGTATCGACCATATAATAGTGTGCATAAACAATTTATATTTTAAAATGTGTGTTTGATACTTTTAAACTTCCACTTTTTGTTGTATTTCTTCAAACATGTCGTTTTCTGTAAGCATTATCTCTGCATGAAAGATTCAGAAAATGTTATGGTGATAGTAGAGTGATACCAAATTGGTATAAACATTTTACAAGTTCATAGTTTAAAATACAATCCAAAAAAGTGCCAAATGAAGCAAAACCTTTCACAGACCGGTACAGGTCTTAAACAATGAACAGTGGCAGTAAACAGAAGTGCAAATGAAAGTGGTTTCTATTTTGTTTTGAACTATGCAAATGTCATAAACGAGGCATTTCGGACTGACTTTCATTTGACAAGAATGCGTATACTGTCCTATTCTTATAGCAAAACAAAATATTGAAAATACTTACTGTCTTTATCGTGATCATATCCAATCACGACAAAGTAGTCGGCCAAGCGGGACATCGCCTAAGGAACCGGGAAATTTCTTAATCGAGCCTCTCTCATTTCAAGTCGGCCATTTTGAATCTTTTTGACTTGTAAACTACATCCGGTCAAAGGGAAGCAACTATACCAATGCTCAATCAAATAAGGTCGCAAGACGTCGAAAATAAGGTGAAAGTGGATAATGTTGATTTTAAAAAAGAAACATCTACTTTTTTGTTGTTCAAATTAATTTTTAAAAAATCAAAGAAAATTTCTTAATTGCTTTAGAGATTTTGAAAAGGCTTCAAAATATTTCCCAACTCCTCAGATATTTTATAGTAAATATAGATAGGTTTCTATGGTTTGAACAAAAGTTCTAACAACTTACGAGGTACCATAAATGGCTACAACTGTCAGATAGGCCTACTTATTCTCACCAGAGCTCTGTTTGGGACGTTTACAGATGTGTGCCAAAAGTGCAGATAAATTTTTTTTCTCTCCAAATATTTTATTGAAAAATGAAAAGCGACATTTTTTTTTTTAAATCACTAGAATGACAATTAACATTTTATGACAGATTATGTACCACAATACATTTACCAAATTTCTGGATAATCAAGGAAAGTGTAAAAGTAAAATTATCTTCACTTTTGGCACACATTATACTTGCTACAAAATATCTAAGAATTCAGTGAAAAAAAATTGGACAATCAAATGAAATCACAATCACAATCACAAGTATATAACCTTGCAAAAAAGGATTGTAAAATTGTTAATTAAATTAAGGAATCACTGTCTAATTAGTGTAGTATGCCAGGGCATCAACGATAGTGGGAAACATGGGATAATTTGCATAACGGGCGAAGCCCGTTATGCATAAATTGAAGCCCGTTATGCAAATTATCCCATGTTTCCCACTATCGTTGATGTCCCTGGCATACTATACTAACTAGAAAGCGATTCCTTATATTTCCATTTCATTGTAAAATAAAATTGTAGATTAAGACTTTAAAAATGTAGACTAATCGATTTAAATTACACGAGTATGGCACGCCAAATTCACAAAAATGAGTTAAACATAGTTTCACAGTCGATAAACTAGGTTTATCGGTTATAAGCTACAGTTTACGGACTGTAAACTATAGTTAACAACGTTAATCTATATTTTACATCTGTAAACCATAGTTAACGCGATAATCTATGTTTCACAACCGTAAACTATACTTAACACCGAAAACAATCATTTGCGATTGCAAAACATAGATTATCTGATAAATACAGTTTCACGATTTGTAAACTATAGTTTACAAACCGTTAACTTTAGTTAACGATCTGATAAATATAGTTTCACGATTTGTGAAACTATGATTAACAACTCTTAACTATAGTTTACGATTGTAAACTATAGTTTACAAACGTGAATCTATGTTTATCAACAAAATCTATTGTTAACGCTTATTACAGACAGATAAACTTAGATTAGCATTCGTAAACTATAGTTAACAACCGTTAAATATAGTTTTACAGATGAAAACTATACTTAACAAATCGTTAACTATAGTTTACGGTTTGTAAACTATAGTTTACATCGATAAACCTAGTTTTTCAATTGTGAAACTAGGTTTATCTCATTTTCGTGAATTTGGCGTGCCATACACGAGGACTCCCATGACATTTTCAATAGTCCTCGCCCACTGACGCCAAACACAAAGGCCGCATGAGATTTACATGCATATTTGGCCTCCTTAGCGTCAGACACAGAGATAGATGCGCACTAGATTTGTATGCATATTAGGCCTCCTTAGCTGCTCCTGACCTATCGACCTGCCTAATTTACATTCTGGCAGAATTATAAAGAAATAAACTACCATAACTTTCCAAGAGTTATCACAGAGAAAACAAATTAGAAATGGAAATATTTCAATTTCATTTCCTTTGAAATATTTATGCGAGATTTATTTTACAAAGTAATTTGAACTTCAATTTTCATTTTAAACAAATGCACAAGTGTATTTTATATTTAATTATATCTACTTTAATTGACCCAGTGATGTATTCAAAGGGTTAAAAAATCACAGAGATTGTGGCTTAACAGATTTAGCTGTAGGCTCCTAAATTTAAAACTTTAGGAGTCCACGTGGCTAGTGGAAATTTTAGTTAAGTATAAACCATGCATGTATGTAGAAAGTGTGAAATAAGCAAAATAACAAAGAAAACAATAAATTAAATATTTTATATATTCATGTTAAAGAAATGATATGAAATAAATGCAACAGTCTGCTTTTTATACCAAACTATGACATCCGATTATAATCGGTAAAATCGCATCGGAAGCAGTAATCGATTCCAACCGATGATCGATTGTGAAAATTAACCGATGTCCCACCACTACGCTACCAAAGTGCCCTGCAGTCCATTTTTTAAAAAGATTTCAGGGTTATAATCAAAACAAACATTATTATATGTAATTTTCGGAGAATATATACACAGCATATTTTTTTTACTAAAAATCATGTTCTCAGTATAATGTTATCTTCAAACCATATTATTATTCTATTCTTATGAACAATTTATTATTTGACAATCTTTTTATGCGCCCGAATCGAAAGATCCGAGGCGTATATTGTTTTTGTCCTGTCTGTCTATCTGTCTGTCTGTTTGTCTGCAAACTTTAACCTTCGCTATAACTTTTGAACCATGAATGATTGAGACTTCATATTTGGTATGCATACTCCACTAAGTAAGCTCTTTCAAATGACACCTAGGCCAATGACCTTGTGACCTTGACTGTGACCTATATGCTAAAAATATTTTTTTTTCTGCAAACTTTAACCTTCGCTATAACTTTTGAACCATAAAAGATAGAGACTTCATATTTGGTTTACATACTCCACTAATTAAGCTCTTCCAAATGACACCAAGGTCAATGACCTTGTGACCTTGACTGTGTCCTATATGCTAAAAATATCTTTATTGAACATTCACCATAACTTTTGAACAATTCAAGATAGAGACTTCATATTTGGTATGCATACTCCACTAATTAAGTTCTTTTAAATGACACCAAGATCAATGACCTTGTGACCTTGACTGTGACCTATATGCTAAAAATATGTTTTTTAATTTTGTTGCCGCCGGGCGCATAGTGTTTCACAAACACATCTTGTTTCAAAGTTGACAGTGACGCACATTTATTGGAAAATGGGTTTACTAGAGCCATATAAAATGAGTTTTTAATACATGTATTTACTTGATTGTAGCTTTCTTGGGCAGGGGGAAAGTGATTAACTACTAAGAAAATATACGCAAAATATTATTGTCAGAAATAAATTAATGTAACATTATTTTCTATTACATATAGATTAATTTTTTTATGCCTCCGTAATCGAAAATTCGGGTGTATATAGTTTTTGGCATGTTCGTCCATCCAACTGTCTGTTTGTCCGCAAAAACTTTAAAATTCATACATTTGATTGGTTGAAACTATGGCTCTCATATTTCATACTTTGTTACATGGTCATTTTTGGGTACCGCCAATACATTATACCTCTTGATCGTGTAGTTTGACCCAAATTTGCAAGAATTTACCAAACTTTTGAAATTGGCTTTGACACCTTTCAACGGTCGGTTGGTGCTAGGACCCTCATACTTCAAAGTATATACATGTAATGTTTATTGTGACAAAACCTTTCTACGGATGTAAATATTTTTACCCTCTTGTCTTGACCCATGAGTTTGATGCACTTAAAAAAAATTTAACTTTGGGTATAAATTTTGAACATTAGTACTATAGGGCCTTCATATTTCACATGAATATTCCTTGTGTCAAGGTTATCCTTCGAATACTAGCATTTTTTTACCTTTTGACCTTGGAGTTTGACCTAAAATTGACCTTGGCCATATACTTTTTTAATAGTTGAGGTTAGGGCTTTGATATTTCACACGATATTACTTTTGACGGGACCTTCTCCTGAGTACCTTTAATTTGACCCTTTGACGTTGACCTTGGAGTTGCATTTGAGAAACTTCAGCCCTCGCCAAAGCTGTCATACGAGAACATCAGTGTTTTAAATACACAACTTGTTACAAGTATAGGGACCTTCTTTACTTAAATATTTGATGTTCTGAACTATATATGCATATATAGTACTATTAACATAAGTGCCACTCATTCATGCATTCTTATATGTTGTTACATTCATCATATATCCAAATTGGGGTCTTTGTCTTAATTAAAAAAGTTGAAACTTGAAACTAGGAGTATTGAACAGTGATCGACTGCAAAGAAAAAAAGAGGAGTGTTCAACAGTGGTCATGCAACTGCACAGAAAATAGAGCGTTCAGCAGTGATCAACTGCACAGAAAATAAAGTAGCATTCAACGGTGATCCAGGCATGAAGCAACAGGAAAGGGTGGGGCAGGTAGGGAACGACAGTAGTCCAGGAGAATTGACACTGTATGGAGTTTGGGAGGGAGACCTGTCCCTTTACACTTTTTTTCCAAACATAACTTATTACTATTGAAAATGTTCATTGAAAGGCCGGTTGCCCCCCCCCCCATTTTTTGTTAGAGAAAGGGTCAAATAAGGGTAATGTAGTATATTAGGAAGAAAAATTTGGTACTGAAAGTTGAACCTAACACAACCACCCACCACCACCACCGCCCCTCCCCGAAATAGGATTTCCAGGCGATTTGGGGCAATTTCCTTTTTTTTTCTCTGGATGCCCCCCCCCCCCCCAACTGTAATCTAAGAGTTGTATTCAACAGCTTTAAACTGTATCGAAAAAAACAGGAGTATTTATCTGTTGTCAGCTGTACAGAATATTTAGGAGCATTCAAACTTGATCAATTTTATAAGTGTTCCATGTATAGGAGAAAATGTCTGATTGTCAATGTCAATATCCGTGGGATTTATCCCATTTGAAAAAAAATCCTGGGAGAAAATATCCCATCTGACATATTTTTCCTCCCATGGGATAATGGTGGGATAGTTAGTGGGACTGAACATCCCACCATTCTCCCATGGGATTCTGAGAATTAAGAATTCATATCTTTATAGAAGAGGGGATGTTTGCCGGTTCAACATGAGACCCTGGGATATAGCAGCAGATCTGCAGCGTTATGGTTTTATTTATTGGTATTTGACCATAACGCTTCAGCTCCCGTAATGCAAAAAAAGGTGCAATTTACGGCGCAATATTTTTTCGCACTTTTAGGGAGAATTTCTCCACTTTCCAGCATTGGTCAATCAACTACCTTTCACTCCCTAATTCAAGACACATTATGTAGCCAATATGTATATTTTATCCACCTCCAAACCATTTATAGTTGTCTTTATATCGAATGAAGTGAATTTTCAGCAATCTAACAAATAATTTTAATCAAGCGAGTTTATCACTCGTAGAGACGATTATAAAGGGTTGGGAGATGGATAAAATATATATATTAGTTAAATAATGTGCCTAGAATTAGGGAGCGAAAGGTAGTTAATTGACCGATGCATGCTGGAAATTGAAGAAATTCTCCCCAAAAGTGCGCAAAAATATTGCGCCGTAAATTGCACCTTTTTGCATTACGGGATCTGTAGCGTTATGGTTAATCAGCCACGTAGCATCGTTTTTGAAAGTGGGGGTGGGGAGCCAGAGAAAATTTTTGTTTTACTTTCCTGAAACAAGTTGACAAGCAAAAAAAAAAAAAAAGAAAAAAGAAAAAAAAAAGGAAACTTGCCCAAAATCCTATTTCGTAGGGGTGTGGTGGTGGTGGTGGTGGTGGTGGTGGTAAAGTCCAACTTTTTTCAATGCCAACTTCTTTCAGAACCATTTATTATACTACATTTTCCGTACATCACTAATAGTGTGTGTGTGTGGGGGGGGGGGGGGGGGGGGGCCTTTCACAGAACATTTATTTAGTATAAGTAAGTTTAGTATAAGTAAGGTTGGGGAAAAAAGGGGGGGGGGCCCCCCCCCCCCCCGTTGCTACGTTCCTGTCAATGACATATATGTAAATCCATAACGCTACAGATCTGCAGCTACCTGGGATACTGCTTAGAAATTCCACCATGTGATAAAGATATTGGGTACCACAATTAGAAATGGTAGTAAAAAGTCTGGACAGTGTCGTGTCCGGAATTAGATGTACTGTTTTATGCAAATAAGCTGAAAGGTCCCTCTTTTGCAAAATTTAACATAAATATCGTATTAGTGGAAATCTTAGCAAGACGAAAAATTTAGCGATTTGTCCTTAAAAATGGGTATTTAATTTTAGTGATAAGTAATTTTAGCGATTTTAAAATCAATAAATTTCCCATGAAATATTAAATTTATTGTTAAATTGATAATTTTATACGACATTTTTTATCAGGTCATTATATCAGGTTGACTTTAGTATATTCCCTGAACGGAGAGAATCGGGAGTTCACGGTGCCAGTTTTACCGCGGTCCTACTAAACAGAGTACCCTAAAGAACTCTAGAGAACCCATGAGAACTTAAGATTTACATGGTGAATTTTGATAAATTTAATGCATACTTTGGTTAATTTATACTAAATAAATCATATCATATACATAAATTCAATTAAAAAGTTATTTTATGGAAGTTTTCACCAGAAAGACGTAACAATATAGATGGTGAAATATTTTATGACATCCCGATCCCGGGCTAATTGTATTCGGCGCGTCGGCGCGCTCGCGCAACAGATTTTGTATATAAAATTTATCGCTTATACAATATTTGTCAGCATCGGGCTCGATATTTCACTCGAAATTCCTATACTAATCAAAGTACTGAAAGTACCGATAGGAGTTGATTTTGACGATTTTCATTAAAATTTAAGGTTTGATACTTTGTTCACAATTTTTTCAAATTATGTTCATTTATGCTTTGTAAAAAAGATGTGAGAATTAAATGAAAAAAGATTCTACAGAGTAAAAAAGGTAAGGTTGTTTTGATCGCCATAACCTTAGAATGAAATGCCAAAAAAGTAAGACTTTTCCTCTGTTCTATTATTTTCAATAAATTTTAAAGTATTTTTCTGAACTAAAATTTGTTTAAAAGGGCTATTAATAGCAAAATCATTTCTGTAACTAAAGTTACTCCCCATCCTCTAATCAGGACAAGTTAATCTTAAGTAGTATTATTTTTAATAGTAACAAGGCATCTTGTTTAAGCACTTATACCAATGTATGGTAGCTTATTGCCATGAAAATCAAATCTTTAAAAAGGAGGTTAAACTCTGGAATATAGAGTCATAATGTAATACTGGTAATTTTAATTTGTTACATTGGCGTCGGAAGCAAATTGAAGGGGGGTTAAGTGAAAGAAAAAAAATAAATTTCGAACCTGAAAAATCTTAGCAAGCACCCCCCCCAAAAAAAAAACAACGTAAAATGTGTGTGTATTGTCCAAACAAGAAAATACTATTTCGTGAGGGGGGGGGGGGGGGGGGGGGGGCGAACATCTCTCAGTACCTTTTTTTTCTTTCAAACATCATAAGCGTCGGAACTGGGAGGGGGGGCACTTTTTTCCCAAATATATACTTAGTATAGACTTAGCCCCCCTTTTTCCCAAAGATATACTCAGTATAGACATTGAACATTACTTCGTAGGTTTAGCCCCCCCCCCCCCCCACTTTCCACAGACACGTTGCAGTATCGGTAAGAAATGAGGAAAAGGTGGTAACCCCCCTCCCCCCCCCCTCACGAAATAGGATTTTTGTGTTTGGGAAATTGACATTTCCTTTTTTTTTTCTGCTTGTCAGGTTTTTGTTGAATGTTTAAATTTTTTTTTTTACACTTGCCCCCCCCCCCCCCCAATTTCAACTTTCTTCCTACGCCAATGAAAATTACCACTTACACTACCACTCACCCTTCTTTTAGGACTACACTGCCTTGCCTGATAAGAGTTGGGGGAGGGGGACTAAATGAACCTACACCCCAATGTTTAATACATATATGATGTCCATTTATATAAGCCCCCCCCCCACCCCCCGATTCCGGTGCCTATGTGTTATGCATAAAGTTGATTTATAACAACAAAAGCACTAAATGTTTTTTAATGCTATAGTTAAAGTTTGGAGATATAACTATTAATATATAATATGTATGTAGAGAGAGAGAAAATAGAGAATAGGTCAACTAAAAAAAAAATGCACTAAATTTCGGATTACACTTGCACAAATCGTGGTTAGACATGCATGGATCAAAGGGGATCCGGATCCCTGGAAAATTCTATTTTTTTTAAATTGACATAGTAAAATTACTAAAGCTATGTCTCAAATCCTTTTCCCTTCCGATTTGAGCCACCACCTCCTAAAGAAAATTTTCTGGATCCACCTAACCAAAAAAATACAATCGGGCTCGGGGTGTCGACCTGAATATAACCGATAATGCTTAAATTATAAATAAAATCGCTGTCATTTGAGTGTTTTAATGCAAGGAGAAAATACTTGTGTGCTATTGGGATGAGATGGACGCGCTGGCGCGCCGACGCGCCGAATACAATTAGCCCGATCCAGATTGAATTTCAGAAACATTGTTTATCGAAATAATAATTTTTATCGAAATTTTACAATAATTTTTCAATGTTTTTCAATTACTTTTATTAAATTTTAATGATATGTATGCTTCTTAACCATGTAATCTGATCTAAAACATATTAATTAATTTCTTACTAGAGATTATAGTAATCTGTTAGCTGTTAAAATAAGCAAAAAAAATTGTCAATATATATATATATATTTAATTTAATTTTGTTTTAGCATGATATAACAGTTATTCAAAATATAAACATTTCAGACAATGAATAACTAAAAATCTTTAGGGTTCTCTGCGGTTCTCTAGAGTTCTCTGTTTAGTAGTACCAGTTTTACCGCGTACACTTTCATGGCGCTAATCAAAACCGAAATTCGGAAATATTTATCAACTTACCAACTAACCAACTTAGTTTGGAAAAACTAGCCTGCCTACTTATTAACAAAATGTAAGTCTTAAAGGTTGGTCTGCTATTTATAAGAATATGCTGAAACATCAAATGATTTTTGGGTTTGTAAAGCTCATAGCAGAGAAAAATGTTATTGTTATGATTATGTACAGCTGATGAATGCTTTAGATTTTTGTCAGAAATACAAAAATTTGAGGCTAGGCCTACTTGTAGTAGTTTGGAAGTATTCATAATCTTGGTTTTTATGTAGAATAGCAACTCCCTCCCAAAAAATCGCAAGTATGTGACTACTTATAGTTATATTCATACCAGCCTACCAGGGAGTTTAAAAAAAGCAACCCAGACTGGCCAGAGCATAATCCGAGATTCCTTTGACTCTAACCCTTGCTTTTGTATTATGACTTCTTCCCTGCACAAGTCAAAATATAAAAGCAGGGTAAGAGTCAGAGGAATCTCGGATTAGCCAGAGCAAAGATTTAAACTGCTTTTGAACAAACGTGTATTACTATGCTTGAGTAACTGTACATCATCTTGTATATATGCAGTGATGCATGCATGGATAAGAGCCAAAGACACAGTTCATGGACCTTGTCAGGAATTACTTATTTGCAAATAACCATTGACAATCCCCATCTTAAGTTAATTGTTAAGAAAAGATACACCTACTATACTATAAACATAACAAGGCATGAAACTAGCTTCCATGTTGGTATGTAAGAGGAAAGGAAAAAATGTATATATGAACAGGGAATTGAACCCAGGACCCCTGTATCCCTTGACAGGTGCTCTACCGACTGAGCTACCTGGGCCAATTTATGGCCCTCAGGCTGCCATTACCTTACCAATCATCCGATACAGTTATGCTCATGAAACTGTTTTAGGACTATAAGGAAGATTATACTCCAAGTGAGTTGAACCATGTTAATATGTGTTGACATTCTTTTTTTCAGATTGGTATATTAAATTTTGGTGGTACTGAACATTAACAATGACCACATACCACAAGATCTATATGAACCATGTACAGTCCAGTAACCTCCAATCACAGCTGTGTGCCATGTGGAAAAAACAGACTCTCTGTGATGCTGTCATTAAATCAGACACTACCTTAGTCAGGGTAAGGCACTAAGGGTGTTACTTATTAATGCATTTTCTGTGTTAGTTTCAGCATTGAAACTTATCAAAGTACAAATAAATGGCAAATCTTCTACTGACTAGATCAAATAGACATACAGATATTTTTAGTAAGGCTAGAACATGTAGAAAACATCAGATATGTCAGATTACTCTGTTGATTGTGTTGACAAAATTCTAGCCATCTCCAAGGCTGGTTAAAGTATTGAAGTCACATTATATAATAATGTTCTGAGTTTAAAGTAATTTACTTTCATGAATTGTAGACTCTTAAAATATATTTTATTTTTGTGATAATAAAAGTTTTATGGTATCCTTGTCTTTCAGGCACACAGAGTAGTTTTAGTGGCCTCTTGTCCTATGTTACAATCTATGGAGAATTCCACCTCAGGTTCCCATTTAGAAATCCGTGTAACCTCTGACATCTGTAGGGAGTCCATCATCACATTTCTACAGTATCTCTACGAGGGCTTTCTGATGTTAACTGAGGAAAACTGCCGGCAGGTGGAGAAGTTAGCTCGGATGTTCCACATGGACAACATCATCAACTGCTGTGCTGACTTCAATAAGTGTTTGTCCTCCTCCAGTCCCTTTATCTATAGCCCTTCAGATCAGGCTGAATTTAAACATGTCCGAATCACTAAGTTGATGAAAGTGCAGGATTGTTCTCAAAAGCGTTCACAGACATTTGAAAATTCAGGCAGGCTTCAATCCAAGAGATTCCATCAGTCAACCTCCAGAATAAATGAATCGTTTGATAATACCAGTAATGAAAGTTGTACAGAGCAACAAGACTCTTGGCAAGGACGTGTTCATTTTCAAAATGGTACTAGACAAGAGGGGATTGAGTTATTCCAAGTTCCCCCATCAAGGGACACAGTGTCAAAAACAGTTCCTCCACAAACTGTTTCTCTGTCTCTTACAACACAGTCCAGCACTTCAACAGATAAAGGAACAATCGATTTTACCAAGTCCCAGACAGAAATATCTACCTCAGTGAACAATCCTACCTCTGATACCTTGAATGATACAGGTCTTGTTGATCTGTCTAAAGTGTCTCCATTCTCCACCCCTTGTATATCTGAAGTAAGATCCTTACAGACTGTTGATTCTAATCCAGAAGAACGATTACAAAGTGATCCTTTCCCTGTTACACATGCAGAAGTACTACAGTTTAGTGACTCTATCTCACAGGGATCTTCTGATTCTTGCATTTTAATAACTGGGGGTGTGGGGAAAGACAAGCAACCAAATCAAGATTTAGCTTCACCAATACAAAAGATTGGAACACAAAACCAAACAAAGTCCCAGAGAAAACTTGGAGAAAAAGAAAGAAGGTATTCTACTTGTAATAATCGCAAGAGAATTGTTGATAATATTTGCAAAAACTGATCTTTTTCTCAGTTTTTAAAAGATATATAACAGCGATTAATTACCTATACATGGGTAACCTTTTTTTGGAAGATTTTATTTTGAAAATCTTAATGTCCATATTCATGACTAGATTTGAATTATTATTAAAACTAAGTCTGTATTTATAGTGAGCGATGCCCAGATTTTAGTGGAACAATGGTTGACCTAAGTGCTGGAGAAGATTTCACTATTGTGAAAACAGAACCTGAAGATTCATTTTATCCAGAGCACTACACCGAGCTCCGAAATCCAGAGTCTTCTCAGCAGAATAAAGGGCAGATAACTCCAGTAGATTGGTCCATAAGTAACTTCTCAACAGATGAAAACCCCCCTCTAGAAGAAATGTCTCCAAGACAGATAAACAGAGCAGGTAGGTCTCAAAGAATTCAAATTCTCTTCCAAGTTGGTGACCAAAGTCCAGCACTGGTTTGCTATGTAATTTTTCATAAAGAACACACCAATTTAATTTCTTTTTTGTTGGACATCTGATGAAAAAAGTATGAGCGGGGGAGCCATTAAATGATAATGTTATTAATTGTTTGTAGGCAAAATTTTATGCAGAACAAGTGAAAATTATAGTGAACAATTCATTTTTATCTATTTATTGATTTGTAGAGAAAGCAGATTTAAATATGCAACATAGAGCAGAAATATAAAAAAAATTAGCACAGAATTTCCATGGTACGAGAAAATTGAATTAAAGTTATTTTTGTTTTGTTTAAATACAAATGCAAGGGTACAAAGAGCAAAAATTAAATTGGTGTGGCCTTATATGTAAGACGTACTATTAAAAAGAATGAAATAATTGCCAAAGACTGACAGTTCATGCATGGAAAGTGTGGAAACTTGTGTAATGTTGACATCTCTTTTGTTTATAAATTTCTCCCTTTGTATGCTATTGATCACCCCGGACTACCTAGGGGCAAATTTGTTGGGTTGTGTCTTTGAGGTCAAACACAATATAAGGAGGGAGGAATGTAATGGTTTGGGCCCTGGATAGCCCAGTTTATAGAGCACCTGACCAGTGAAGCAAGAGTCCTGATTATGATTCTCTGTCCAGCTTTACATTTTCTCCTTTCCCAGTGTTTTCCCTAAGAACCAGCAACCGGCCATATTGACCACTTCAATTTACAAAAATGCCACTTTGAAATAAAAATTTGTTGCAAGGTCCACAGAGATTCTGTTCATAAACCTCATGCCCTAGCCTGTTACAACTGATCTCTTACCCTTTACTTTGAAATAAAGGGAAAACACTGCTCTCCTGTTACATTTTTATACTATCTGTTTATACCCCCCGCAAACGAAGTTTGGGGGAGTATATAGGAATCACCTTGTCAGTCTGTCCGTATGTCCGTCTGTCTGTCTGTCTGTCTGTGCAAACGTGTCCGGTCCATATCTTTCTTATGGAGGGACATTAGAATCTACTACTCCACACAAAGATTGCCCATGACCTAAGGGTGTGTCGTGACCTTGACCCAAGGTCATTTGGGGAAGTTCAAGGTCACTGGAAGAAAAAGTTCATAATTCGTGTCCGATCCGTATCTTTCTTATGGATAAACTTGGTAGGTTCTCAATTCACACAAAGATTGCCCATGACCCAAGGGTGTGTCATGACCTTGACCCAAGGTCATTCGGGGAAGTTCAAGGTCACTGGAAGAAAAAGTTCATAATTCATGTCCGGTCCATATCTTTCTTATGGATAAATTTGGTAGGTTCTCATTTCACACAAAGATTGCCCATGACCCAAGGATGTGTCATGACCTTGACCCAAGGTCATTCGGGGAAGTTCAAGGTCACTGGAAGAAAAAGTTCATAATTCATGTGTAATACATATCTTTATTATGGAAAAACTTACTTCTGAAAAAACCCAGCGGGGGGTATTTTGTCCCGTTTGGACAGTTCTAGTTTTTATAGGTGTGAATTGTATCTCCCCTTAATAAGATCATCCTGAGTGAATGTTCACTTGATTTTTCAAGTACATGACACTATTTTAAACACTTCTTGTACATGCATGTTTATGACAAATTCAGTATTAAATTTGATTGGTAACATGTTTTAATTAGTGTTTAATTCACGTAACATACTTGTCCCTGCATTAGTTTATTACCTTTTTAATTGGCATGATTACCAGTAGTGTGAATTTGCAATAAAGACATTTTCTGTGAATACATTCTATATTATATTCGTTGTATACTTATTATATCTTTTCTCTGTAAAGGCAAGAATTAATTTATGAAATAGTTTTTAGCATACAGCTGCATTTGAGAAATAATTCACTATTTGAGCATCAACTAAGAAACAAGGACCAATAAGGCATGCTTAGACCTCCCCAAAACTGAGGCATCTGTTTGGTTTTCTTCAGATGAAAGGCGTAGGAGGGATTCTGACATGATTTCAGAGGGTGGCCACAGTGGAGAAATATCCCCCCACGATCCAAGGAGTGAAAAAATGCACCCCGTTGTCTCAAATGAGAGTTTATACAGCCCTCCTCCTCTAGCTGGTTTTGGCCAAGGAGATATGGCTTTGCATTTATCCATGTTTGCAGATCAAGTGGCAATGCAAATGAAAGACATGGGAACTCAGTTTATCAAATGTCCAATATGCCACAAAGATTTTAGTACGAGATATGGACAAAAGCTCCACATGGAAAGATTTCATCCTGACCCCAAGAAAAGCAAGTCAAAGGAATTCCCCAAGTGTAAGATCTGTGGGAAACAGATGGCCAGCAAGTATGCTCTCAAAATTCATGAAATCAAGCACACAGGACAGAGGGCATTTAAGTGTGAGCTATGTGGCAGTTCCTTCGGTTATAAAAGTGTCCTGAAGAAGCATATGGAAGTCTGTAATCTAAAATGATAAAAATAAAAACCTTAAGGAGGAATTGTAGAATTCTTAGCAATGAGTTCTGGTATATCATGAATTATTATTTTTATGATAATTTGTGTTAGAATGATATTTATTGACTGGAAATTTATGCTTGTAAACCAACTACAGTATTGCATGTACATGTATACAATCTTGTACGAGATTCTTATATGTTTCTATGAAGATGATATTCACATTTAAAACCTTGCTTTTCTTCAGGGTGGAAATGCTGCTCCATATACACACTTTAACAAATCTTAGTAATTAAAATAAGTAATGTGTAATGTGTGATGACATGAATGCTAAAATATTGTTAGGACTCTGAAGTTGGTTTAGTCGTTCAATAAATGTTAAAGCAATTGTGAAGGTGAACATTCAAAAGTAACTGTGGGTGTCCTTTTCAGAGATGATGACCAGTCCTAGGATGTTGTACCCTGGAGGGAAGAACCCAGAAATCTCCACTCAGAAGTTCATAGCTACATACACCGACAAAAGGGGAGTTAATCACAGACTTATCTCCCATGCCCCAAAGTGTCTGCAGTGTGCCCATTGTAAAACCGAGAATAACAAGTTTGCTTCTGGAGAAATTAGGAGGTCTTATTACAAGTGTTCCCTTTGTGATGTTCCGTTGTGTAGAACACAAGTGTTGGACTGTTTCTTTAAATTCCACCAGAAATATGTACCATAGTGTCCCAGTTACTGATGAAGAATCCAAGTGTGTAATGTTTTTTGCATGTACTTTTGATTTGTTTTGTATACAATATTACAGTATTAATGCAATCTGCATGGTATGATACATGGTGTATACTCCTCCAGTGCATTGGTTGCAGGGACAAGGTACTTTCAAATAGTTGTGCAATATAATGGAAACACACTGATTTGTTTTTGGTATTGATCAGTAAATTGTGCAATAGTACATTTTTGCTTTACATGAGAAATATTTTGTCTTCTAGTCTTGTTTTCAGAATTACAGTTAATGAATTAAATGTTTGATTATGGTTGAGACGAATTACATGAATTTGTAAAGAATTATTTGTACTAAAGTACAGTGTATTGCCGGTAAGTGGACAAGCTAAGCATTTCAAATGAGCACAGCTTGTCTGATATCTGGATAAACAATAAAATTATTTAGTGGAATTGATTTCATGCTGATATAGCAATGACCACTGTCTGTTTTAATTTGTCAAGTTTTTTGTATATACATGTATCTATAAATGTTTTGCAAGAAAAACAGTTATTTTGATTATTCAAAATGGATACTATGGTATATTAGTTAAGTAACAGTCTGGAGTAAGAGATAAAGAGCTTTTATTGATAAAAGGAAAGATTGGATCAATATTTTGTTGATTTAAGGAATAACTGTCTAAGTTTTCGATTTCATGATGTGATCAATCGATTGGCTTGAGTGATAATTTGCATAAATGCCGATGGCGCTTATGCATAAAATTATCATGCAAGCCAATCGATTGATCATCGTCATGAAATCGAAAAATCTGACAGTTATTCCTTATATTTACATGCTATTGATTCCACCAATCCACATGCTACAAGCCCCACTTCTTGTCTCTATTCGTCCCGCGGCACCCTGCACATGGTTTTTTAACCGTGCCTATTGATCCAGTACATTAATTTAGAAATAAAATACATTAACTATTTGTAATTTTATCTTGAACAAAGACATTTGAAATGTAATAAATATAATAATACAACTGTATATCAAATTAGATGTTACAGTCAAAAAGACAGTTATATCTGCTCTATGATGTTTCGTAAGAGTTGACCAATGACAGTCACCATGACTATGGCTGAAGCTCAGGAGTGTTAGAACTGTATCCCATCTTTCCATTTTTCAATCACAATTTGCATATATAGTTTAGTTTCAAAGAAACTTTGAATGTTTTTTTAGCTCACCTGAGTCGAAGGCTCAAGTGAGCTTTTCTGATCAAAATTTGTCCGTTGTCTGTCATTGGCGTCGGCGTTGTTGTCAACTTTCCACATTTTCATCTTCTTCTCAAGAACCACTGGGCCAATTCCAACCAAACTTGCCACAAAGTATCCTTGGGTGAAGGGGATTCAAGTTTGTTCAAATGAGGGGCCAAGCCCTTTTCGAAGGGGAGATAATAATGAATTAGTGAAAAATTAATGGCATTTTAAAAAAATCTTCTTCTCAAAAACCACTGGGCCAGAAAAGATAAAACTCATGTGGAAGCATCTTCAGGTAGTGTAGATTCAAGTTTGTACAAATCATGACCCACGGGGGTAGGGTGGGTTCACAATGGCTGATCAAAATTTTACATAGGAGTATGTAGGGAGAATCTTTAAAAATCTTCTTCTCAAGAACCACTGGGCCAGGAAAGATGAAACTCATGTGGAAGCATCCTCAGGTAGTGTAGATTTAGGTTTCTTCAAATTATGACCCCTGGGGGTAGGTTGGAGCCAGAATGGCAAATCAAAGTTTTACATAGGAGTATATAGGAAAAATCTTTAAAAATCTTACCAAGAACCACTGGGCCAGGAAAGATGAAACTCATGTGGAAGCATCCTCAGGTAGTGTAGATTCAAATTTATTCAAAACATGACCCCTGGGGGTAGGGTTGGGCAAAAATGGCAGTTCAAAGTTTTACATAGGAGTATATAGGAAAAATCTTTGAAAATCATCTACTCAAGAACCACTGGGCCAGGAAAAATGAAACTCATGTGAAATCATCCTCATGTAGTGTAGATTCAAATTTATTCAAATCATGACCCCCGGGGGTAGGGTGGGGCCACAATGGCCGATCAAAGTTTTACATAGGAGTATATAGAAAATATCTTTAAAAATCTTCTCAAGAACCACTGGGCCAGGAAAGATGAAACTTATGTGAAATCATCCTCATATAGTGTAGATTCAAGTTTATTCAAATCATGACCCCTGGGGGGGGGGGCAAAATGGTTGATCAAAGATCTACATAGGACTAGATAGGGAAATCTTTTAAATTCGTCTTCTCAAGTACTTCAAAGCCATGATAGGTGATATTTATGTGGAATCATCCTCAGGTAGTGAAGATTCTAGTTTGTTCAACTCATAATCCCCAGGGATAGGGTGGTCCACAATGGGGGATCCAAGTTTTACATTAAAGGATATAAAAAAAAAAATCTTCTCAAGAATAACAAAGCCATGATTAGTGATACTAGTATTTATATGGAAGCATTTTCGGGTAGTGTAGAATATTTTAAAAATTTGTTCAAATCATAACCCCCAAGGGTAGGATGGGGCCACAATGGTGGATCAAAGTTTTACATAGAAAAATAAAGGAAAAAATCTTAAGAACAGAAAAGCTATGTTAAGTCATATTGAATTTAAGCACCCTTATGTATTGAAGATTTAAATTTATTTAAATCATGGCCCTTTAGGGTAGGGAGGGAAAATGGGGTATCAAATTCAAATTATTATGAAGTTATATATAGGAAGAAAATGTTTTTAAAAAATCTTTTATCAAGAACAGCAAAGTCATATGCTGTATTAATATGAAGGCAATCTCGAGTAGTATTAAAGTTCAAGCCACCCTCCCCTCTTCAGTGAACTTTTCAGTTCTGATCTTATTTGTGCTTTTTCCTAGCTGATTTGCTCAGGTGAGCGATGTGGCCCCTGGGCCTCTTGTTTTTACTTCAAGATGTATTGGTGAGAGCTATTTACCTGCTTAATTAAACATTATCTAGTTTTCATTTGTCACCAATGTGGTGCAGTGGTTAGAGCATCTGCTTTAGAGTCGCAAAGTAAGGACTTTATCATTACATTATGGATTCAAATCCCACTGTATGGCATGGAGACCAGGATGAGATGTAATTATAAATTGAGGTCCCATGTTGCAGTAGGAGCTGGCTAGAAAAAGATCCCTTACTGCTCAATGGCTGTAGCTAGGACAAAATTTGCAGCTCTCCACCAGCAAATGGTGGTTCTCCATATGAGTGAGATATTCTTGAGAGGAAAGTTGAACAACTTTTTAACCTTTTGACAAAATCTTGCAAATTGGCAAACATGTATTGCCAATCCAAAATAAATCTATGAGAAAAATATTGCTGATTTCTGAAAAATTTTGTGTTATTTATCCTTAGCAAAAAGTATCCCTTAATATGAATTCAAAGATATTTTGTTGTATGTTAAATTTTATTGAAGACAACCATTTGTTATTTTCAGAGAATGCAAACAGTGGTTCAGACTTGCCATCTGACCAGGGAAGTAACTTGAGCATCACTAGAACTTACAGCCCTAGATGCATTGCAGCCTATACTGACTCAGAAGGTACTGAACACAGACTCATTTCCAACCGTGGCAAATGTCATGTGTGTGTTTGCTGTAAACAAGAAAATAAGAAGTTTGCCTCAGGCGAGTACAGGAAATCGTACTACAAGTGCTCAGTCTGTGAAATTCCTTTTTGTAGAACACACGTGCGTGACTGTTTTTTCAAATACCACAAAACTTTATCCAGCACTGTAGAGACAAAGTCATCATGACTTGATGCGAAGTTTTACAAAGCAGAAAAAAGTTTGTGTGTTTAAACTTTACACAGAAAATTTAATTTCTGACAAATTATAAAGAAACGAGATTAAAATAAAACTTTGTTTTTTTCATGGAGTTTATCGTCTTTTTGAAATTCATCTCTAGACTAATGTACCAATATGCTTGAACTGATTAGGTTTCATGATTATATGCCATTCATCTAAATTGTTTTGATTATGAAGAGCTGTCAAATTTAGAAAGTGGGATAAATTAACTTGGTCTATGAGCTTTCAAGATGCATTGAGTTTTGCTGACATTTGATTTAGAATTCACAGTTTCAAGAGTATGCAGGTAAAAACAATATGAACATAAATAGCTGAAAAATTCAAAAAGTAGGTCATTGTCAACATTGCCTGAGGTGCTATGAATCATCAACTGATGAGGTTGGATAATCTTTGGCCTCGTGAAAAACATAAATAATGAATAAATTCAAAAAAGTAGATAACTCAAAAAGTAGATGTGTCAACTTTTCATGTTAACTTTGTAGACAGCACAAGTCATATAATTCTTGATTCAATTCAGAAAGTTGGTCATGGTGACCTTTTTTCATCAACACATCCTTAGATCCAAAGTTGAATCAACAAAGCTTATGGTTTTAACTTTTAAGCTTATTCATAAAATTCAGAGATTAGGTCAAAGTCACATACTTTATACTTTTTTCATTGTGGACCCAAATGTCCAAGATGCGTCAACCAAAAAGGTTTGATGATTCTACGTTACACTATAACAAAGCTGTACATCTTAAACAGATTACTACAAAATTCAAAAGTGACTCATAGTGGCTTACTTTTAAGTGTTAGTACATATCTTGAGCTTCTAAGACCCATGAATTGACAGGATTTTATATATCCCATAGGCGTAGTCACAGGGGGGGCAGCGGGGGCACTAGCCCCCCCACTTTTAGATCTGGGGGGGCAAGAGTATGTCTGTGCCCCCCCACTTTTTAATGAAGAACAAAATCACAGCTATTTTTCTATACTTTACTATAGGAAAGTATAGTTATATCGAAGAATTGTGGGAGAAAATTGGAATTGAAAGTAAGTTGTCTTTGAAAAAGTTGCTCATTACCCCCCCCCCCCCCCCCCCCCACGAAATAGGATTTTCGACTTTGGAGAACTTTCAATTTCTCTCTTTTTTTTTTTTTTTTTTGCTTGTCAAAGATTTTCTGGAGTTGAGCCCCCCCACTTTTAAGTTTGGGGAACCTTCAACAATTTCTTTTTTTTTTTTTTTTTTTTTTTTTTGCTTGTCAAAGAATTTCTGGAGTTGAGCCCCCCCACTTTTAAGTTTGTGACTACGCCTCTGTATCCTAAGTCTATAGATTTCAAAATATGAAAGTTAACGAGGTCATCTTTTAAGTGACCTTTAAACCACACACGTAATTACTGTAAATGGATTTTT